TTTTCTAAAAGAGGTTTACCTATATTCACTGTATAGATAGTTATAATTACCTTTGAATTATTATGTTTTGTTTCTATTTTACTTGTATATATTCTTCTTAATATTTGACGTCTTTTTTTAAAACCTATAAATCTAGAATCTATAAATTTATGATCTTTAAATTGTAAATTAAAATAATATTTTATTATTTTATTTGCATTTATATTATTAACTGGAATATTTTTCACATCATTTTTATAATAAGAATAAATAGTATTTGTTCACTCTTTAGATACAGGAGGTAAATATTTTATTTCCCCTGTGTCATTATATCTTGTATTAAGAGGTATAGATTTATAATTATTATTTAAATTAGAATTAAAGAGATTAAGATTAATATTTGTATTTTTTTTCATTTAAATTTATAAAAATTATTTTTATCTTTTTCTTTTTAGTATAGACAATAAAAATATTGGGTGTTAAAAAGGATTATTGTTAGCATAACTCACCTTATAGTCGTTAAACGATTTTATCTCTTTTTACTAATGCTAAGATAAATTTCGCTTCAAATTTACTTATATTATAAGTAATTCTTGAAATTAACCCAATAAATTATCAATAATTTTAATTATTGAAGGACAAACATCCCTAGCGTAGCTTTTCCAATAATCCAAGATCTTTCCTTTTTGCATCTTGTGATCCTATGCCCTGCTTACATAACTGTAAGATTTATTATTAATTAAACAGTAAGGCACGATTTAGCCGTTGAGCTTTTTAAGTATTAAATATAATTATTCTTTAAGAATAACTAATAAAAATATTAGAATACTCATAATATTTTCTTATCTACTCCTATTTTCTCTATAGGTAAAATCGTACCTTTATAAAGTTCTTATCTTTATCTATACGTACATAATACTCTTACAGATAAGTATAGAGGATTAAATATAGAAAGTATATAAACACTTAAACTACATAAAACTATAAACAACGTTATAAAACTATAAACAACGTTATAAAACTATAAACAACGAATATTATATATTTTTATAACTTATAATAAATAGACACTCCCTTTTACTCTTTAAGGGGCCTATGCCCTATATAAACTGTCTCCTAGCGATATATTCCTTTCCTAAGGTTATACTTATATTTATATTTCTATAAATATAATCCAGCTTAGGTTAATTCTTACATTTCAAATTTAACGCCTGATTCTGAAATATAACATCTAAATAAAGAATTCTTATTTTTATTTAATTAATATATCTTATAAACTCATATTTATCTATTATATCCTATAATTAGTAACAGTAAAGCTATATAGGGTCTTCTCGTCTAACTAGAGGTAAACTATATCTGCATAGTTATTATAATTTCACTAAGTTAATTATAGAGACAGCTATTATATCGTTACATCATTTATGCAAGACCGTATTTAACGGCCAAGGCATTTCGCTACCTTAGGACCCTCACGTTAAGGCCGCCATTAACCGGGGGTTCCGTCAACACCAAATTATTCCTAACTTAGTTATATCTATTAACCTGCCGGGATCGGGCAGATATCACACTTAATACTTAGATTTATTGTCTTTTAGCAAAGTGCTTTATTTTAATTAAATAGTCGTATAATACGATTTTATGCTTTTTTCTTTTTACCCGATATTAATCAGGACTAATAAGCACTCCTTCTCCCGAAGTTACGGTAGTTATTTTGCCGAGTTCCTTTATGATTGTTAGCTCATTGACGCCTTCGTATTCTCTACTAGCTTACTTGTGTTAGTCTCTAGGTACGGTTATATATTATACTATTATCAAACTATAATAATATATATTTTTACTATTTTTCCAGTATATTTTTCACTTAAAAATATTATTTTTCAGTAAAAAAAGATTTTCTCATCGTTAAAACCTTTAGGTTTTTAACTTAGAGGCCGTTACTTAATTTCCATAAGCTTTAGGCGGAGGTAGGTAGACAAAAACCAATACATCGGTACTAATTTTGGCTACCTCCTTCTTATTCGTTACTTATATCACCATTATCACTTGAATTATTTATTATATATATATTATAAATATATCTTAATTTAATTCAACGTTCTGCTACCCTATATATTTTTTATAAAAAAAAAAGAAATATATGGACAAGGTTTCGGTATATTATTTACATCCGTTAAATTTTCGGTGCTTTTAAAACTTAATAAGCGCTCTGTTACGAGATCTTTAAATTATGGCTGCTTCTAAGCCTATCTCCTTATCGACTTTAATAAAAACCTTCTTAATTTCACTTAACTAATAATTTTAGAACCTTAACTCTTATTCTGGGCTGTTTCCCTTTTGATATATAACCTTATTATTCTATGTCCGATAATTCAAAATTTATCTTTGCTATTCCGAGTCTATATACTTACCGATAAAATCTTCACGATTCCCCGATATATATAAATTAAAAATATAAATTTTATAAATTTAGTATATCTTATCTAAGATTAAGTTCTATACCTGCTAAGATGTTATTTAAATTACCTACTATTATAGGTTTCGCAGAAAACTAGCTATCCTGGTTAGTATTATCTTTCACTACCTACTATAATTCTTCGGATATCTTTATAACGATAACCCGTTCGGACCTTTATAATCCTGATTATAGGAAAATTACCAGGCTTCGGGTCTAACTTTAGACACTTTTCGTTATTTTAACGATTAGTTTACCTATGTTTGCACTCGTATCTAATGTTGACTTGGTGACCTATTATGCAAAAGGTACGTTCTTGCTTTCGCTTGAACTGCTTATAAAACTACTATTTCTGACCGTCCTCTTATGATACTCTTTACTGTCGCTTATGTATTATATTTAGTCTTTGAGGAAGGTTCCCCATTAAATTCAAACAGTTTCTCGACCGTTTTACTTATTAGACAGACTGCTCTATTTTAGCTCACGTTAATAATAGAATCTCTTTTGATTTCTTTTCCTGAAGTTACTAAGATATTTCAATTCACTTCGTTAACTATCTAATTTCTCTTAGAGTTTATATTTCTAACCTTATGTTTTATTAAAAATACTATAGCAAAGATTTAAATTAATAAACCAAAAGTTATATATTTTTAATTAATAAACAAGGGTAAATAAATTATACTCGTTAATACATAGCTTAGGCATCCATAATAGTCTCTTTATATACTTTATATTTATATAAATATATTTTCTATATCTATTACATTTCTATAAATTCTCAAAAAATTTAATTTAATGTAATATTATTAAATATTTTATAAAAACTTTTTATTACTTATCTACATTTATTGCAAATAAACTATTATAATATATAAGAACAAATTTATACAGGCTTGCTTTGACTTCTGATCCTGAATTTAAATTATTATTTAATGATATAAACAATAGATTAGAAGATTATTTTTCATATTACAGCCTAGCTGATAAAGATATCGGTTTATAATGTTTATTATTTATATTATTTTACTTTATTAAATATTCTAGGTTATTTTGTGATTAACAATTTTTTTAATATTCTAATATTAATGATTTATTTGGGTTCTTTTATTTGTAAAATAGAAGCATCGTTAAATTTTTAGTACAAATTATT